GTAGTAGTAGTAGTAGTAGTAGTCGTCGTAGTAGTAGTAGTCGTAGTAGTAGTAGTAGTAGTAGTTGTTGTTGTTGTTGTTGTAGTAAGTAGTAGTAGTAGTAGTAGTAGTAGTAGGAGTAGCAGTAGTAGAAGTAGTAGTGGTAGTAGTAGTAGTAGTAGTAGTAGTAGTAATAGTCGTAATAGTAGTAATAGTAGTTGTAGTAGTAGTAGTAGTAGTAGCAGTAGTAGCAGTAGTAGTAGCAGCAGCAGCAGTAGTAGCAGCAGCAGCAGCAGCAGTAGTAGTTGTTGTTGTAGCTGTTGTAGTTGTAGTTGTAGCTGTAGCTGTAGCTGTAGTAGTAGTAGTAGTAGTAGTAGTAGTCGTGGTAGTAGTAGTAGTAGTAGTAGTTGTTGTTGTAACAGTAGTAGCTGTAGCAGCAGCAGCAGCAGCAGCACCACCACCACCACCAGCAGCAGCACCAGCAGCAGCAGCAGCAGCAGTAGTAGTTGTTGTTGAAGTAGTTGTAGTGGTGGTGGTAGTAGTAGTCGTCGTCGTACTAGTACTTGTAGTAGTGGCAGTAGTGGTAGTAGTAGTCGTCGTCGTCGTACTAGTACTTGTAGTAGTGGCAGTAGTGGTAGTAGTAGTGGTAGTAGTAGTAGTAGTAGTAGTTGTTGTTGCTGTTGTTGTTGTTGTTGTAGGTGTAGCAGTAGCAGTAGCCGAAACTGTAGCAGGAGCAGCAACAGCAGCAGTAGCAGGAGCAGCAGCAGCAGCAGCAGCAGCAGCAGCGAGAACACGAAGAACAAGCATCGGAACGACAACAGTTCCACAGACTCTTAGAATAGCTGTTCAGAAGAACAGCATCTGGACCACCCAGCCAAGAGTCTTGCAAACGCTTACCAAAACCTTGGGAGCTCCCGGCGTTGTGGAGCTCGTTCGATGCGGGGGTACAACCATCAGGCTTGTGCCAACCTGCTTGATGCCCTCGAACCGGGAGACGTGCGTAGGGGATGTGAAAGGAAGCTTCCGCTCCGGCGTCCAGTCTGTGGGCAGATAGCCGATCGGATGATCCATGTTGGCCTCGACGCATCGGTGACCGTAAGCTCAAACCCCTTCTAGACCCAGGGCCCAAGCACTAAACCGTCCTTGAGCTGTTGAGGACATAGTGTCGTGATACATCCGGAAACCAGCACCAGGTTGCCTTGTCGGAATGCCTAGGATGATTCGAACTCTGGGGTTTAGGACTTGGGAATCTCTCGCCAAAGCGTTTTTCGGACTCCTCGGCACAATGTTCCCAGAACCGGAAAAGTGAATCCAAAATGTACCAAAGGCGCGGAAGGCTTCCCTTCTTTCTCGGGCGTCGTTTGAAGGTCAAACAGGCTCCAATTCTTTTTTGTGTCAAGGTTGCACTGCTGCTCGTCGTATCCATACGGTCGATACTGCATGGCTGACCCGGCACAGTCTTGCAAGAGGCGGGCAAGGCCCAAAGCTTCAACTTGGGTACTTACGAACGGAATAACACAGCTCCTTCATTCTAGCACACGCGTACACAGACATAGGCAGTTCAAAGGCGTTTTCAACTTTGCCTTCATTTGGGAGAGCAAGGAACCGAAACAATGCTGCCGGACCGAACTATCATCCATCCTCCTCTCTACTGCCACCTCCCAGAAGTGGCACAATACTGTTGCGACATCATGCTGTACTTCCAACACAGCTCAGGAGCCCCTGCATGTAGCAGACATTCTCTGACTTGTCAAGTCCCGTCTGCCCAGGATCATACATAGTTTCTCAGATCCTAAGTACTGAAGCCTTCGACGCACAAATTATCTCGTTGACCTCGATGCTCCTTCTGTGGTGTCAACAGTATGTGTATGTGCATGTATGTGTGTGTATGTATATATATATATTGTGTATGTATATGTATATGTATATGTCTATGTATATGTATATGTATATGTTTTTGTATATGTATATGTATATGTATGTGTATGTGTATGTGTATGTGTATGTGTATGTGTATGTGTATGTGTACGTGCACGTGTACGTGCATGTGTGTACGTGTGTATGTGTGTATGTGTATATGTATACATGTATACACATGTGCATATGCATGTGTACACACACACACATATATATATATATACACATATTATGTGTGTATATGTATATACATACATACATACATACATACATATATATATGTATGCGCAGGTGCATACATACGCACATGTATGTATAGACACACGCACGGTGTCCTTTGAAGCCTCGGGTGGTGGCTGACTGCGTAGTTCTGCAAGCTCCTTTCGGAGCGAGTCACGCTGAGCCTCCTGGGCTAGGGCCAGACACTCCAGCACCCTGTGTTGTATTATCTTACTCTATATTGAGACTTTATGGCTCACTAAATTCTGTTGTGTCATGTTTCCTTGTAATACGTACAAAGCGCAGCATTGAATTGCGACTGTGATAATATGAAGCTACCAACATTTTCTTACGATCCTATTACTACTGTTGCTATGGCAAAAGGTAAAAGGCTTGCATTTCATTGCAACCGTGTTCCTACATTGGGGTTGGAGAGTATCCGCTTCAGGACTTGGGGTTCATGGCTTCAGGAAAGGGGTAACTTACCGGAATCTTGCCCGAATGCTTTGCATGCTGGCCCTCAGGCGCCCAAGTCCAGGCGAATCCATGAAAGATCCCGACACTTGGAACCCAAATCCTGACAAACTCATACCTTGGATCTCACACATGTTCGCGCCCTGCGCCGAACCCACAACCCTGCACTATCTCAAACATCGGCGCCCTACCCGAACAAACGAGGTCCATCAAGTGATAAACAACATGTCAAGTCGGGAAGAGCATCCAGCATGGCAAAGCCATTCTCAAGCGCGGTCCAACCTCGGATGGCTGGCAACTTCTCCGGGTCAAATTTCCGTGGTAACCGTGAGTGAAAAGTTGCCAAGCTCGGGGCTAGGAATGCTGCGAGTATTGCTAGGTTCAGCATGTTCTTGCAGCATGTGCACTCGGTGAACTAGGTTGGGACTGTAAATGAAAGCCTCAGCAACACATTCGCAAATAAGATCTCCTCAAACCCAGTAACGGATAGTGGCCTACCTAGTGAAGCTCAGTTTCGGAGGCGTGGTGTGCATAATTTCTTGCAAGCATGAGCACAGCGAAAAGCCCTGTGCCGCGTTTGGCACAGGCACTCCTCGTGGCTGTTCGGACATGGCTAAGCTTCGATGTCTTGCGGCTGTCAGCGTGCACTTGCCGCCGGTGTGTGTTCACATCAAGAACGCTCGTAAAGAAGCTTCAAGAAAGCGCATCGATCCGCCAGAATGCAGCCTGACCCTGCCAAGATGAGGAAGCCTCAACCGTTTAAGCCTAAGACCCGACACTAAACCCCCGGCCCCTAGCCCCTAAACTGCCACCTCAGAAGAGCCGAGCAGCGGTTTTGCCAGTCTCCCTCGGAAGACTCTAGCTCCATCGCGCTTTAGCAAGTCTCCAAGCACAAAACTGTATTCAGCGCGGGATTTCTGCGAAGTAGCGGCGTTTGTAGAGAAGGGGCACCAAGGCTGATGGCAGTGTTGGTAGTGGTTGAAGTGCTGGTGGTGGTTCTGGCCACGTAGTGGTGTGGTGCTGCTGGTGGTTCTGATAGTGGTGGCGGAGTAGTGGTCGTCGTAGTGGTAGTGGTAGT